CAGTCAACACCCCTGGCTAAACCCAGCTGAGGACTTCTAACAGTGTCAACACACCTATCATTGTGAGAAAGTCCAAGTGGAACTGAATTCATGTGTGAAAATGACTAATTTACCGTGACGCTTTTGCCTGAGATGCTGCTAGTTTTGCTGAGAGCAGAGCCTGCAGCAGTGGTGGAGGGGGCTCCACCGGTGTGGTGAGCCTGCGTCACAACACCACGCTGTCAAACTGATTTCAAATTTCAAAACTGTCAGACACTTGAGGACATTTATCAGGTCTCTCATTTCCCTGGGGTGGCGCAAGTCTTTCTTCACAGTCTAATTCATAAATGGAATACATTCAATTTTCTACCTCTAGATTTTACAGATTTTATGAAAATTCTTGGAACTGTATTAAAAATAAAAACAAAAAACATGTACACATGTATTCATAGCTTTTTTTAGTATAATGATGCTACGAGGTTAACACCTATTTTCTGTTTCTTCCATAATTCTTTGCAGAACCTTTTAAGCTCCATCAGGTTGATAGGGACGCATTGCCCAAGGAAGAGCCAAGTAACAAACAGGAAGCTTAAAAAAAGTCTTTCTGTAAATAACGCAGGGCTGGCCAACTCCAGGCCTTGATGGATGGTGTCCTGCAGGTTTTAGACGTGTCCTTGATCCAACACAGCTGAATCAAATGACTAAATGACCTCCTCAACACGTCCTGAAGTTCTCCAGATTCAGGTGTGTTGACCCAGGGGGATATCTAAAACCTGCAGGACACCGGCCCTCGAGGCCTGGAGTTGCCCACCCCTGAAATAAAGCTAAGCTGAGGTGAAAACATCACCATTTACCAGGATAAATGCAAAGTTGCTTTTTGAAGAAACCCCCTTTACCATGCTGAAACTGTCAAACATGACTCTTAACTTTCATTGACTGTGTCACAGAACTATTTTATTACATGAAAACATGTCTTCAAAGTGTGATTTGAAGTGGCTGATGGCACACATTTCTCACAACACACAAAAAAAGCAGAATAAACAAAAAAAAAGAGAGTTACTGTCCCCATCTGTAAAGTCTTTAAGTCCAGTAGAGAAGAACAACAAAGGTTCTAAAAGCTGGATTCAAACCAAGTTCTTGCCTTCGGCAGAACTTGGTTTTGTAGGCAGACAGAAGACATCTGTCGGATCGGATCATGAAAATCTTTGTAAAGATGCAAACCCCTGTTGGATACCAGCCAGTGTAAGGGATGCTATGTGACTGAATTACAGAGAAACTTCCAACAGATCTGAGGTCAGAGCTGCAGAAAGGCCAGCCTTAACAGTGCAGATCATTTCAGCAGGTACAGAGTTTTTAAGCACAATCCTCCGAAAACTTACCCAGCACCCACGGCAGAATCATCCACTCCACAATGGTGGGTGGGGGTCCCTGCATGTGCAGGTTGGTGCGGGCGATGTGCTGCGAGGCCAGCAGCAGTAAGAAGAGAAAGGTCAGGTAGGATGCCGTGTGACAGATGAACTTGATGAAAGGCTTCTTAATGAAACTTCCCAGAGCACTCTTTGGAGCCAACAGGTAGATCTGAGGAGGATGGAGAGAGGGAGATGGACGGGGGGAGAATGGAAAAAGAAAGGATTTCAGTAAGAGCACAAAAGAAGAAGGAGAGGCAAGATAAGAGGGAGCCTGCTTTGTTATTAAATGAACTTTAATGACCAAAAAAATAAATTAAAATAAAATCAGCCGATGGAAGTGGCTTGAAGGCATAAAAACACAGGACTGAATGTCTGCAGAGACGTGACTCTCAAAGCAGAGCAACACAAACAAGAAATTTGACATTATGTAACAATTAATGAGTACAAAAAACATCACCTCAGATGCTTGTTGATGCCTTAAACTGATTTTGTCCTCTCAAATATTGTTCTTTCCCCCTCAATTTCAGCTCAACAGGGAAGAAAAAGAAGAAGATGTATGTAAGTCGATAAATGTCCATGCTCAGCCACCGTCACCTCGTGTTTCATCTGTCAGCGCTGTTATTGTTATCGCTGGCGTTATTGCCGTTATGATGCTTGTTTACTTGCTCTGCTCGTCTACTTGCTGCTGGCAACCTCGGCACACTGAGTCACGCCAGTGATGCTTTTTAACTCGAACTGAGTCGCACGTCGACAGACTCAGAAACAATAAGGCCGAAAGAGAGCGAGAGGGAGAGAGAGGTGTGTTTAAATACACAATTAAAACATTAATAACTAACCCCACTGCGGCACCACTCTGATTATTGATATGTAAGCACTTTATGTTAATTATCTCACTCACATCAGCAAAAACATGCAGTGTAAATAACCTCAATTAAGACCAAATTACATGTCGGAGTTTTTGAAGACACCACAAAGGTCACAGTAATAAACGAGAGGAAAGAGGTGCAAATATTTTCCCCTTTTCTAATTATTCTTCCTTCTTAAGCTTTATAGAAAGACAGAAAAGTAAACTAACATTAAAAATGAGCTAACAGCATTCATCTAAGAAGGAAGAAAATTTTTAAGAAAGCCTGTAAGATGGCTCCGAGCTTCCAGACCAGTTATTGGGTTTAACAGAGTTATGTTGAAAATGTATCCCTGAAATGTGCTGCAAACAAGTGTTTTACTTTTCTTTGGCTTTATGTGGGGAATCAGGAAACAAGAGCCAGTATGTAAGTTGACTTGTATTTTGGAAAACTGTGCCCTTTAACTGTCATGTGACTCTTCATTTTAGAACCGCCCATCATTCCTGCCAGGCTGTGAAAAGCAGCAGCACATGGCAGTGAAGGCAAGCACCAATTTTCTTTACAAAGCTGTCTTTGGCTCGTCAAAGTACAAATATCTAAAGCAATTAATTCTCCTGAAGATATCAAGTTTGTTTTTCCCTCTTGACTGACTTGTGGTTTGGTCCCTTTGCCTCAGATCTCCTCCTTGTTTGCATATCTATTGAGTTTCCTGCTGCTTCTTGAATGTGTCAATAAATCATTTAAAGTATTCCTGGAGTTCAGAGCAGTAACCCGGACGACCAAAGAGATATAATCTCTCCAGCGTATCCTGGTTCTATCTAGGGGCCTCCCAGAACATCTTCCCCAGGAGGCTTCCTAATCAGATGCCTGAACCACCTCAACTGGCTCCCTTAATGTGGAGGAGTAGCAGCCCAACTCTGAGTTCTCCCAAATAAAAATAAACTCTTCCCCCCTCCAGGAGGCATCAAAACCTGGAGAAATCTCATATCTGCTGCTGATCTTGTACTTCTTCCACCTTCGATTGCTGCATGGTTGACAAACCCCTGCTTCGGTCAGATAGACCCATGCAGCATGTTGGAGATTAGCCCACCTGGACCCTACAGAGTCATCAGGTGCTCATCAATTAAATGCTCGCCAAGATCCATGACCCAGGAATGGAAATGAATGTGCAGTTTTGTACAGAATTTTGGTTATTTATTTTAAAATGGCCTGCATTTGTATAGCGCTTTACTCAGTCCCTAAGGACTCCAAAGCGCTTTACACTACATTCAGTCATCCACCCATTCACACACAGGTAATGGCAAGCTACGTTGTAGCCACAGCTGCCCTGGGGCGCACTGACAGAGGCGAGGCTGCGCCACCGGGCCCTCTGACCACCACCAGTAGGCAAACTTGGGGTTAGTATCTTGCCCAAGGATATTTGGCACGCAGCCAGGATGCAGCCTGGGATCGAACCACCGACCTTCTGATTAGTGGCTGACCTGCTCTGCCACCTGAGCTACAGCCACCCCATGTTTAGAGAAATGTTTCTCAATTTCTCTAAACTCAAAGGTTTTAAAGATGAACAAAAGCAGATCTTCATCTGCATCCCAGCATTAATGACTCAGCAAGTTAACACATTGGCTCATAAGTTGGCTCAAGTTCATCTGTGTGTATTTAGTTGGCTCATATTACTGCAGTACCGACAGCATAAATAGACATTTTTCTGAAACGAAATCCTTTAAAACATAAAATGACCAGATTAAATATATAACACAGTCCGTATGTCTGTGACATCTGTTAACTTCCAGGTCCTCTTCAAAACCTTATTTCTTATTTTCCATCGTCCTTCAGTCAGTAAACCGTAACTTTGGTCTAATTACTACCTGAAAACAGTTTGAAAAAGCAGCAGTTTGGTTGCATCAGCTCTTTGACTTTATTACCCTATATTTCTTCTTTTCCCCATGTCATTGATTTCTTGTCTTTCTCCTTTCTAGGGTAATGATCATTTTGTCAGTTCCTCTTCTCGTCTGTCTTTCCACTTCTCCTGCCATTTATCTCTCACCTTCTTCATTTATTTTCTCTAATTCCCTCTTCCTCCTTTGAACTTTCCTGAATCTCAATATTTCCATTTTTCTAAATTCCTTTCCAATCTAGATTTTCATCTTCTCTTCCTGCCTTGCTTCTTGAAATCTCGATCCCCCATCTATTGTCATCTTTTTAGAAAGAAAGAAGGTGTAATTTATTGGTCCCCGTGGGGAAATTCCTCTCTGCATTTTAACCCATTCACTCAGTGAAGCAGTGGGCAGCCATTGGGCGCCCGGGGAGCAGTGTATAAGGACGGTACCTTGCTCAGGGGTACCTCAGGGTAGCTGTTCAGGGGAATCGAACCCCCGACCTTCCGATCACGGGGCCACCACTCTACCTACTGAGCTATCCCTGCCCATCCTTCACCCACTTTCTTCAAATCTATATACTCCATCCTCCTGCACCCTCCCATTATTCTTTTTTCCTTACCAATGAGAAGACCGGGAACAAGAGTCCGATGATAAAACAGGTGACCAGTTTAACCGCCCAGTGTCGTCTCCTCCAACCCGGGAAGCCATCATACCACAGTGTGGCCAGCAGCTGCTGGCAGTTTGGCTGTGCCACAAACTGGAAAGAGAACAACAGGGAGAGGAAATGCAGTTTAGTATTTGTGAAAAAGCTCTGAAAAGCCCTTTTAAACGTAGTTCATTAATCATACAGAGGCTTTTTTTTTTGTGGGGGTGGGGGTGGGGGGGGTACACTTTTAAAAAATGTGATCACCCTGACTGCTTAATAAGTTCATGGAAACATTTGCCTCTGCCTGCTCAGTGGTGTTTATTTTGATGCTGATGCCATTACCAAATTATCTCCTCCTTCTTCACTTCATTCATTTTTTCTTAACTCCAGGAGGCTGCGGCCCTTTCATCTTTTCTCCCTCTTCTATCATTCCATCTATATGTAATTAAATCATTTTGTTATTCACAGTCACACATTCCCGATAGAGTAAAACACGAGTGGCTCTTAGCGTGTCCTTTATTAGTAGTAGTCGGATATCAGAGTGAACTGTCATCTTGTTAAGGTCCATTTCCATCTCGACTGTGACATTGACTCCTCTGACTGATTTCTACTGGGATTGGGATTTGATTTCCCCTAACCAATCACAAAAGAACAAGGTATCCACCTGAAGCTAATGTGATTAAACTCGACACTGCTGCACAGCAATGCAAACATACAGTTTTTCCCCCAGGGATTTAGAAGCAAAGAACAAAGTACAGTAAAAAGAAAAATAGGTCTTCAAACGAGGTTGCTGGTAAACACGTAGGAGATAACCTTTGCAGATAATTTTCCAGGGTTTTTAGAATCCTTATCTTGTTGTATCCACTGGTGCATCAGTGGATTAAGCCAGGCACAGGAATTAATTAATAACTGAAACCTTTTAAGACTTAATACCGGACAGTTAAGGACACTCAAACAGACCAGACTCACGTCTTTGACAGCCAGAGAGCAGAAAAAAAAAATCAGAACAACTGAGTCATTCAGCTACACAACATACATTCATACAGACGTGGCAGAAGCTCAAACTTAGGCATATAGACATAGCCAAGAAGTTTAAACTGAGAATCAGAACGAAGAAGAAAAGTTATTCTGAATGCACAACATGTCAAACCTTGAGGCAAATGTACTGCAGCAGGAGAAGACCACACCGGGCATCACAGCTAAAATAGGAAAAGGAGGGTACAGTTCATCCAGGCTCAACAAAAATGGACAATAAGAGTTTGGAAAACGTTCTCTGGTCTGATGAGTCTCGATTTCTGCTGCGACATTCAGGTAGTAGGATCACAATTTTGTGTAAACAACATGATAGCGTGGATCAATCCTGCTTTGTCTGAACACCATTATACCACCAGGGTGCTGCATGTGGTGTCGTGGCGTTGGGGATGTTTTCTTGGCACAACTGGATTTTTTTGTAACTACCACACCCTACCCCAGTTGTTGCTGCCCATGTCCATCCCTTTGCTACCACAGTGTATGCATCCACTGATGGTTTCTTCCAGCAGGATAGCACACCATGTCACAAAGCTCAAATAATCTCAAACCGGTTTCTTGAACATGACACAGAGCCTTGTAGAAGCCTTCTTCAAAAAAGTCCTGTTACATTCAAAAATAAAAGCCCCAGCTACGTTTTAAGGAATAAACACACACACACACACACACACACACACACGCACACACGCACACACACACACACACACACAAAGAAACTAGTCCTAATGGCTTTTTAGCAGCAGGAATCCCAGCAAGGACTGTTCTTTTCTGCCTAACTACAGTGCATCACAAGATCAGCACCATGGACAGCTCTTTCCACACTCTATACTACAGGATGCTGAAATGTTTGAAGCAAAGCTGGTAAAAATTCAGACAGTCTCATAAAAAGAGCTTATGTTTAGTTATAGACAGTGCAGATACAATGCGCCAGGATCAATTATCTCCAAGCCCACACTTACAGAAAAAAACACAAGGAAGTGAAGAAATCTGCAGTTATCACCAAATGTTCAGCTGTCAAAAGTTGCAGAAGATAATTTTTGACTGACAGTTTCAGGTGTCATCCTGTTTTGTTTTTTTTCCTGTTCCTGTTTTTCAGTTTTCCTCTTCAATCTATGAAATGTTTGGTTCATAACAGTTTCCCGTCCTTGTGTGAAGGTGGATGTGCCAAATTGAGCTGGATGTTTATTTAGCTCATTTATCTAAAAGGATGTTTGTTTAAAGGAGAAAAACATTATTAACATTCTCTTATACAGATACAAAGACACACAGACATGACTCGAGGTGATTGATAACCTTCAGTCTCTGAAGCCTTTTCAGAGTATGAGAGTAATTTACAGTCCTGGGATTTTTACCAAGATTAAAACTAATCATCGAAAAGCAGAAATGAGAAGGGAGGAAGTAAATAAATTGAAAGGTACTGAATGAAGAAAGGAAGAAAATGAAAGAGAAAAAGGGCCTGGCAAGAACAAGGAAGCAGAGGAAGAGAGAAGAAAAGAAAAAGGGGGACACAATGGGAGAAAGAAAATAAGAGGAAAAGTCAGACAGGAAGGAAAGAGGAATGGTTCTTGGTGACTCAGAGGGCACCTGAAGGTCTGATGGGGACAAACAGCCTTTGGCGTAATGCCAACAGTATTAGGGGTTGAACTGTAATGAGATGTAAATGGAAAAAACAGAGGAGCTACAAACCTGTCAGTGCTGAAAGTAACCTTTGGTTTGTCATAAAAGCTCACAGAGGAAGATAAAGCCTCCCCAGATTTACCCGTATGATGCTTGCTGTGGAGCATTTCTAAGTGTAAAGATTACACATGATTCCTTTGTCAGGACTCATGTCACCATTTTAATGGAAACAAAAAGGTTCACATTGTTTGCAGGGTTAGTGTATGTCGACAAGCAGCAGCAATTGCTACATGTTTTTTACATTGTTGAATTATTGTTTAAATCACCAAGATAAATACTACATATTAATGCTATGGAGCATAAGAGTATGCAAAGTTCTGACTAACTGTATGGATTTCAGCTTATTGACTGTTGCTGTGATTTGGACCTATTTAGATAAAGCTTTAAATGTGATGTACAACACAAATAAGAATAGGAAGATTTTCTGATTTTTCCTTTTCCCACCAACTTAGCATGTTTTGTTTTCTTCCACCCCTCAATTTCTTTCACCTCTTTGTTAAATCAGTTGTCTTTGCTACATCCCATTCTCAGTGTTTTCTTTTTCTCCTCTGTTCTACATCACTGAGCTTCTTTTCGTTGTCATCTTGTGTATTTTCTTTTTCATTATATGACCCCCAATCCTCTTTACTTCTCCCCTTCTATACATTGCATCTCTTCTCAACTGATTCTCCACCTCCTCTGAGTTTGGTCTCCACTCCCGTCCTTCTCACTTTGTATTTGCTCGCTTGTCTTTCTTTTCTGCTCAGTCGCATTTCTTCTCCTCACCCCTTCTTCCTTACCCTATCCTCCCCTCAGCTCCAGCATGGTGTCCTGTTTCCATGGCAGCAGTATGCTAATGAGCTAGTTGATCTTTTGGCTTCACTAAACTACAGCAGTCTGCTCCTTTCTCTTCTTTCCTGTTTTGCTGTTGATAAATATGCTTGTCATGGTTTACTGTTGACACAAAAACACTTGCTGACGTAACAGCACCATTTGAGATGGCCTCTAGACCAATCAGAAAGTCAGAGCAGATCAGGAAGGAGAAACCTAAGAAGCAAACAGATCTCAGGCATAACTCTGTTTTTGGGATATATAGAACAACGTGAGACATCACTGAAATAACTTATAAACTCACAATGAATCAGAATAAATTACACAACACTCTGGAAAAGCTGGGGTGGTGGGTGGTATAATTTCATCATCAGCGGTCAGTCAGCCAGTAGCATGAAGATGATAGAAATACATTGTCTGGATCCAGGCAGTGAATGGTAAATGACTGTGGTGGGCGATGACTCGGGTCAGCTGAACTGGGGACACAAATGACATCATTTTCCGGTCTGAACCTACATTAGGTTAAGAGATCTACATTTTACTTGCATCAACATTGAGACATGGATGAGTGGCAAATTCCAGACAGTCAAACTCCTACTGAAGTGGAACAAATGAGAATAGTGGCAATTTATGCCATGATGATCAGTTTATTCTATTCTATTTATAATAAAAATTCTATTCTATTTAGCAATATTCCCACAGATATTCTCTTTTGATATATTATTCTTTTTTATCTTTAGAAAAAAAAAGGTGGCTAGGTTGATTTAAAAAACATGCAGCAGCATCATTCATCATTTTCAATATATCTTTAACATGTCGTCATGATAGGAATCTTTTTTACTTCCTAACGATCTCTTTTCTTTTTGAATGAAGAATAAAATGGTTAAAATACATGTTTACCTAAAATTGATTGTAATTTGGCCAAATTGCACTAGCAGAAGGGTGTTAATAAAGTAAGAATTAAATGGTCATGTTATATAACTTATAACATGTGGTGGTACCACTATAAAGCTTAGCTGTCGTGTGCTCTGGAATATATTGTTAGCTTAGTAACTTGTCAGACGCAGCAGCTGAGACACCGGCTCTGTATTAATATCAGGCCTCCAGCTTGATACATTTTCTTGAAATACTGACAAAAAAGGAAGCAGGCACCATCAGTTTTTTTAGTAATTTAGTATTGCCCCCAAAACCAGACTGTTAATATGGCCCAAATGTAACTGCCAGCTCTGGGACCCGTTTTTTTATTCCACTGTACAAGTTAATAATTTTCTAAATTTAACTGATCCAGAATCCAATTTGCAAAATAAACTATCACATATTACAAAATACGAGCAATGGAGAACACAAACAGCTGATATATTCACCCGACTGCCAAAACCTATAGTATACATTTAAAATGAGCTCATGTTTAATGGCAAACAGCAACCACACATCGATACTTATCAGGTTTTGCTGTCTTGTACTGAAATTCCTTTTGTCTCACACTCTCCGTCTTTCATGCTAGCACTGGAAAAGTGTCACTGCGCCACCATGATGAATTTCCAGTCCAACTTAAATTGATTACCACGGTCTCTCTCCGGCAGCGCTTTGCCTCC